GCTTTATCATTATTATTATTATTACTTAACAGTATTACCTAGTTTGATTTTGCAATCTCAGATTTCTGTCAAACTGTGAAGGTAGAGGCTCTTCTGGGGCTCATTGTCTGAACCTTAGGTTGTGTCAGTGCTGTATCATCTGCCTGCAAACATCCTGACTGTGGGACTTCCTGAAGGTTTCCCAAGTCTCCTGTCACTTGATGAAAAATGTAAGGACTACCTATAGCAGACATGATGACAGCAAGGAACTCACACTGTCTTTTAAAGAAGGTTCCTAACATTACTGACCGATTTCTGTTGAAGAACCTCTGATCTGAGTGGGCTCCTGAGAAATTTGGAGATCTTCTGCAGCCGTTTGGGGAATTGGGGGATGTTTTCATAAAGGCACATCTGCATTGTCTTTTTATTGTTTATTTTTTTTAAAAAAATTGTAATGGCAAACTTTTTTTCTCCTCAGATGAAGGAGCTTTAGTCAAAGGAGCAAAAAAACTTGGCTATGTTTTCACTGGGAGGACACCACGTTCTGTTATCATTGATGCGGTAAGAGTGTGTGGGAAGGAAGCATTGTGAGATTATTTCCAAATTCTTCTATAAGACTATCCTGGAAATATTGCACAGAAATAGGGCAAACAGGGCAAAATATCCATCTATTTCGGTGTTTTTCAACATTGGCAACTTTAAAATGTGTAGACGTGGACTTCAACTCCCAGAATTCCTCAGCTGGCTGGGGAATTCTGGGGGAATTCTGGGAACTGGAGTCCACACATCCTAAAGTTGCCAGAGTTGAGAAACACTGATCTAAGTGATTAATTAGCAAAGTAATCCTGCTCTTAGTCAGAATGGAAAACTCTTTTTAACCCTGCCAGTTGTAGGGTGAGAAGATGAAATAATGAAATCTTACCAAATGGTGCTTCTGGCATGCTCGGCTAAAAGAGTGCCCTTGAAGAATTTATGTCCATGTTTCTTGAGCATTTCTTTCAAATGTCATATTGATTAATTTTGAGACGGCCAAGTGTATACATGAATATCCTGCCTTGGATTGTATTGTAATCTCTCCAATAGTAGCCTCTCAGGTTCTCGTAAAATCCAAAAGAAAAGTATCTTGAGGAATTCTGTTTTCTCTTCGGCTTTTGGGCAATCAGAGAGGATTAAACATAAAACAGTGCCAACCAGGCCATCCTGAGCCACCATTGACAATAAAGACAGCTCAAAAACACAACCAAGAGAAAAGTGAAAGAAGCTTTTAGATGCACTGAGAAAAAAGCTAGACAATCATTACCTTCTGTATGTAGGAACAAAACTTTTAAGGAATTTTAAGGAATTTTCAATACAGCATTTTTAATTCTGGCATGGCAACATGTTGAGTTACAGAAAATATTCCTTTTGGCATGTTCTTAAGAATATAAGTACATGGTTATGCCCAGCAGAGGGACCTATTTTCACATTTTTTTGATATGGGTGTTTGAAAACAATGCTTTCATTGCAGTTCTTTGTGTATTTTTAGTTTTTCTTTTACTAAAGTGTACCTTATTCTGTTATGATCCCAGCTAGGAAAAGAAGAGACATTTGAGATCCTTAATGTGTTGGAATTTTCAAGGTAATTGGTTTTTAATGGCAATTACAAGAAATACAAGGAGGGAAAGTTAGGAATGTCCTGTAATTAAAATAAATTTTCTTTGTTTCATTTCTTTAATTTATTGACTTTACATTTCACTGGAATTGTCCTTGGTCTGAAATCTTTTAAGGGCTGCAATATAAGCTGATCTGACTTGGAGAGGTTTCAGGGGATTGGATCCTACTTGACCTCCATAAATGGGCTATTTACCTTTCATAGGTAGAACTGAGAACTAATAGATGATCTTTTTCTTATCTGCAGATTGACTTATCTGTGAGCATATTTAGCAATACTTTTAAAAAGTATAATATCCATATTTCATGTATAAACAAACAAATAAATAATACTTGCATATAAGCCTTTCCGTGGATAAGCCAGCTGTCAATTTTTAACCAAAATATGAAAAATGCAGGTTGGCTTATCCACAGGTGGCTTGTTTTTCATGGTATTTTGGTTAAAAATTTGAGGGTTGGCTTATATGCAAGTATATATGGTATTTTCTTACTGCAAATAACCGGTCTGTCAGTCTTACTGAACCTCACTTGGACAATTTCAGAACAAATTAATAGCACAGAAACAATTTTCTCTCTCCCTTCTTCCAATATTACTCACTTTTTAAAGAATAGTTATAAATGATAAATACAGTGGCTAGAAATATAGTTCTAGGCTATTCCTGATTTTTTTTAGTAATTCTGATTTTTACAGCAATTAGAGACACATGTTCCATACAAGGCAAAAATCTTGTTCTGTTCCTCATGCCAGTTGGATAAAACTAAATATTGACCTACATTTCACGTTGGAAATTCTGTGACTAATCTTTCCCCTTCTTTCTCAAAAGAGGGAAAAGAAAAAGGAGGATGGCGAAATGGAAAAGGGTTGATAATGTGATTGAGGCAGTATCACAAACCTTTGAAAACATTCCTCTTTCACTGTTGACTGTATTAGTCTTGGGAAGCAGGGCAGAAATATCCAATACTGTAAATCATAAACTTCAGCATCACTGGCCATTTAGCCTTATAGTTCACCGCTGTCAAACCTGACTAGCTGCAATGCAACTTGAGCTACATGATTTTGAATTAAATAGTATTGTCCACAAAAGGAATAACATTGTAAAAACACTGTGTCAGGGTAGCTGCTGAAAATATGGCATACAACTGAGCTGAAATGACAATACCTTTTGAAGATTATAGGAACAATGAAATTCCCTTTTTATGTACTAAAATGTTAATCGTATGCTAAGTGGTTATTTACTCAGTCATAATTGGTTAGTTGTACATGACATGCTAAACATGGTTCACACATTCCATTGTTATACAATAATTGTGTAACATCCCATTGTTATACCATTCAAAAATATGGGTTTTCTTTCCTTCTGATTCCTGATACAGTTTTTACCTGTATAAAAACAGAGATATTTTGATTTAGTTTTCCGTGGTTATTTCCTTTCTTCAAGTCTCACTTCCAAAAGTTGCAGTATGTATGCAGTGGTTTAATTTAAAAAATACATTCCTAAAACTAGATACAGGAACTGTTTACATTGCAATTAAGTTAATTGCAATTAAGCTTTAAACACACACACAAACACACACACACACAACATATACACACATACACAATGTTATGCTGTGCTGGGGTATATTCTGCTATTCTATATATCTGAAAGCAAGTTTGGTGTAGTTGTTAAGGTGCATCAGGCTAGAAATTAGGAGACCATGAGTTCTAGTCCCGCCTTAGGCACAAAGCCAGCTGGGTGACCTTGGATCAATCATTCACTCTAAACCCTAGAAAGAAGGCAATGGCAAACCACTTCTGAAAAACCCTGCTAAGAAACCTGCCAAGATTAAATCAAAAGTCCCAATCAATCAATCAATCAGTCAATTAATCTGTACATTCAGGCTGACATCATAGATAATTTATGGTCTTGGTTTTTTTTTTAAATAAATCAGAGTTGGCTAGGTACATACATACTAAGTCATAAACTATGGTTTATAAATCATAACATGTAATGGAATGTGTGGATGACTTTGGGGGGTGAGAGAAGGAGATGCTACCTAAGACATCAGACAAGAGAAGAAGGAGCCCCCAGTGGCTTAATTTTCAGAGAGAGAGAGAGAGAGGATCCACTCTAACTGATCTGAAAGTTAAAAATGGCAGTGGAAAGTTTCTACCTTCAGACTTTCAAGAGCCATACAATAAAGTATATTTAGCTTATCTGCCTCTTTCTCTGTCTGGATTGGGAGGGCCAACACAAAAACTGGCTTTACACAACAGCCTAAACCATTATTAAACAAAGTAAATCATAATTTGGTACACTATGTGAAGCTAGTCATTAGGCCAACCTTCCCCAACATATTTTACAGATACATTGGGACTATTACAACTTTGGAAATTCCTAACCTACTTTACTGCTTCTTGGTGACATTATTAACTAATCCTTACTCAAATCTCAGACCTATTTAACTAAATTACCAGTACTGTCAATTTGTGTTTATGAAATACAGGCAAAAGTATTCCATAAATATATTCCACTAAGTAGCTTAGTGGCTACTTTAATAAATATTAGCAGCAACAGCAACAACTTCTAAAAATTACAATGAATGTTTGTCCTATTCTCAGTAATCGAAAGAGAATGTCTGTAATCGTTCGGACTCCAGAAGGTCATCTACGTTTGTATTGTAAAGGAGCTGTAAGTATCTCCTGCCTATTCACAAAACAATAGTGTGATGGTAACCAATATTCTTTGGCATGTGTAAATGTTAATGACAACAGTACTTATACCAGTATTGAACATTGTGCGTTCTTTATGTCTCAAAAATTTCAGTAGCCATATAGTGTGGAAGTTTGGGATGTTGGAACCAAAATATCTGGAAAGAAGTAACTGGGAAAAATGGCTTAAGTCAATGGTTCTCAACCTTTTCTTCACCACGGACCCTCTTTAAATACCTTTTTTGGCCATGGATCATCAACACTTAATTCAGGATTTAAATCACAAATCTTTTCTTGAAGGCTTCGCGGACCCCCTTTGATGACATCACAACCCCCAGGGGTCTGCGGACCACAGGTTGAGAACCCCTGGCTTAAGTAGTGTCAGTTAATGATTTGGAAAAACACTGTACAAGTAATCCTCAACTTACAATTGTAGTAATAATAATAGTAATAATAGTAATAATAGTAATAATAATAATAATAATAATAATAATAATAATAATAATAATAATAATAATAATAATAATAATAATAATAGAGTTGGAAGGGACCTTGGAGGTCTTCTAGTCCAACCCCCTGCTCAGGCAGGAAACCCTGGCCTATATCATTTCAGACAAATGGTTGTCCAGTCTAGTGACTGTTTGAAGTTACAACGGCACTGGAAAAAGTAACTTATGACTGTTTTTCACACTTAACAACCGTTGCCGCATCCTCATGGTCACGAGATCAAAATTCAGATGCTTGGCAATTGACTCATATTTATGACAGTTGCAGTACCCTGGGATCATGTGATCATCTTTTGTGATCTTCTGACAAGCAAAGTCAATGGGGAAGCCAGATTCACTTAACAACCATGTTACTAACTTAACACCTGCAGTGATTCACTTAAGAACTGTGGCAAGAAAGATTATAAAATGGGGCAAAACTCACTTAACAAATGTCTCACTTAACAACAGAAATTTTGGGCTCAATTGTGATCATAAGTCCAGGACTACCTGTATTATATCTCCACTCCTGTAGACTGAACAATGTATTCATAATTTATCACTATCCGTAAGAGCTACTTCTTTACAATGAAGAATTATTATTATTATTATTATTTTTATTTTGTGGTCACAGACCAAAATGCAAGTGCAACAAAAGAGAACACAAGAAAAATATAATCACAAACAATTAAACACCAGAAGCCTTGGCTAAAGGGAATTACAATGTTCTCCTCTAATAGTTACAGCTCTTAAAAGAAATTTAGAAACCTGAAAAGTAATATAGAAGGAGCCATCCCCTAGACAATATAAGACCAAATTACTAACATTAGAACCAGAGGGATGAATTCCAAGGAGAGACAATAATTTAATTCTGCCTGTGTTATACATAGGGCAGTACAATGAAGAATAATTTTCATATTTTTTGACATTTTAAAAATCCGAACCACTTTTGCAATCATGGATAATGTCAGACTTTCATTGGACCTGGTCGTAAATTGTGACTCTCCAGAAGCCTCAACTTTGCAGCCAGTTAATAACCAGCAGAAGAAGCTTCACAGCTTCATCACGGCTAGATAAATTGTTGCATATAAGAAAAAAAAACCTCATAGCCTACTTCACAGCAGAGGTCTCAAATCTTATATTAATATGTCAGCTCAGGTTTTAAATCTTAGGCCTTTTTCTTCCTACCCTTTAAATTAATAGGTTCTTGGTTATTCTTTTCCTGATCTTAAGAATTAGAGAATTTAAATCCATATTTAGGCAAAGATTGTATTAGGTTAAATATACTGATCTGTGCCTGATTAGTTTTATCCAGTGGTGGGATTCAAATATGTGAACAATTGGTTCTCTGTGTGGATACCACTTCTGGAAGTCTGTTCTGGGCCTGGGCAACAAAAAATTAGCTACCAGTTCTGCCAAACTGGTGCGAACTGGCTGAATCCCACCACTAGTTTTATCCCTTATAGATGGACAGAACATATGTCTAAAAAAGGAATGCAGGCATTGTTATGGCAATTATTTATATACTTTTTTATTGACAGGATAATGTCATTTTTGAGAGATTATCCAAAGACTCACAATACATGGATCAAACTCTATGTCATCTTGAATATTTTGCCACAGAAGGTAAATACTTGTTTATTTAATTATTTATTTGATAGCGCTCTAAATATTTGTTTATTGATTTATTATTGCTCTTCTTAAGTATCAAAATGTGTTGTTCTGTAGCTAAACAAATTCTGTTTCCATATATATGAAATGGGAAAGCTTGGGAAATTTCAGAGTTAAGAATAAACATATTTTGTCCAATCATGCTTTTCTAAAACTGAATATGATATAACTGAGACATCCTTGTTAGAAACACACATTTGTCAAGCTTAGCTTTCTCCATCTTTCTTTCTTTCTTTCTTTCTTTCTTTCTTTCTTTCTTTCTTTCTTTCTTTCTTTCTTTCTTTCTTTCTTTCTTTCTTTCATTCATTCATGCAGCTTTTGAATCAATTTGACATATTAAACACATACATAAAAAACAATTTTAAATTAATAAGGCCAAATCTAATATTTCATTTTAATTCTGTTTTTTAATGATAGTTTTGGGGTATTTTTGTATCTGTTTTTATCAGGCTGTCAGCCGCCCTGAGTCCGCAAGGAGAAAAGTGGGGTAAAAATTCAAACAAATAAATAAAAATAAATAAATAAATAAATAAATACCCTAAATTTATACACAATTGTATGCAGGTTTTCTCAATATGCATTCTTTTGTGTGCACTTTTCCTAATATTATGCACATTTATATATTTTAATCTGGTTTATATAAATGTGATGTTCACATTTTATATTCACAAAATACATATATTGATATGAACCGTTTCCCTGATATGTCCATATTTAACTAGAGAACTACATTTTAAAATTCTTCCAATTGTAAATATCAAAATATGATTGCCTATCAGTTGACCAAGCTCTCTTTCCATACTTAAGATCAGAGCCTTGAACTCATCTATTGTCTTTGCTATTCCAGATTTTATAAAGTTGCAAAATTAGTGTGACAAAAATATAATAGGGAGACAAAGGAAACAAAATGCTGAAGAAAGTTATAGCTACTCATTACATTTGCAGCCCTTTAAAACTAGTGTTTGCCTCTAAGCAAAAGATATCTTGAAATGCAGCTTAGCTCATTCCTGCATATATTATTCAAGCCAGCGGTGAAATAAACCTTGTTGAAAATGGACTTCGTCTGGATTGAGACTTCATTTAAAATATGAAAAAGAATGGATTATTGGAGGGAAGCAATTCAATAGACATGATATGTCTCAAGCCATTAGGTCTCAGCAGATGTTAACGCTCTTAAACTTTGGGGGCCAGAAAGGCTGAAATTGATAATGAGGCTGATGGATGAAAAAATGGTCCATGTAATACTCATTTTATAAATGTTTAAACACTTTTTTTAGAACAACTATATCAATGCAGCCCATATTTTTCCTAGATTACTTTAAGAGTCAACCTCTGTGGCTATAGCAATGAGTTTTGTTATCTGGTATCAATCTTTTATATCAATCTCTTATTGACTGGAGTGCTCTCTTATGTAGTAAATGTTTAATGGTGCTGCACGGCAGGAAGAGCCTTGTCTATCCTTGTGCCTGAAAATTTTATTTTTTCTTTGTTTTAGGAACACTTACATGCTCATAATATAGCCTTTCTGTTTAATATGGCAACTTTCCCAATTTTTAATACTTGATGGGCAATAGAAGACAAATAATTACACCAATGTTTGTGAATACAGACATTGACCATGTAAAAATCATGTTGTCCATATTCCAAAAGGAAGGGGCTGTTGTCCAGATTATTGTGGCTAGTCATTTACTTTGAGATCAAGGCAAATAGCAAGTGATGATTAAAAAAAAGAAATTGAGGGCTAACGCTAACTAGCTAGTGAAACTGGGAAACTATATTTTTATCTCACACCAGGATATTCTGTCTTACAGTTTCATTTTATAATATAGGTAGTCCTTGACGTACAACCATTCACTTAGTAACTGTTTTAAGTTACAATGGATTCCCCAACAGCTATTTAGAACCCAGTTTTGAAGTTACAGTGGCCACCTTCCCACGGTCATGTGGCCAAATTTTGAGTGCTTGGCAACCAGCCTGCATTTATGGCTTTTTGCAGTGTCCCACAGCGACATGACCACAATTTATAATGGTTTTGCCAGAAACTGGCATTTATTTCCAGTTTCCAGCATTTATTTCCCAAAACCAGCCCCTACTAAACAATGGGTTTGCTTAACAACTGTGGCATTCACATTTCAAAAAGTAAAATTGCATGGTGCAGTACCAAATATTATAATGGGCCCAAATCTGCTTTGTATGTTCTTTCCTTAGGAAAGCCATACAGATAGTCCTTATTTAGCAACTGCCTCGTTATTGACCATTCAGTTACACAGGGGATGAAAAAAACAATTTTATGACTTGCCCTTGCTTTTATAATCTTAGCAAGTCTGTAAAGCAAAGGAAAGTCAAAGTAAGATCATAAGCACAGTTGTGGTTTCACTTAGTGAAACTTAACAACCGAGTTGTCAGCCCCAATTGTGGTCGCTAAACAAGGACTACCTGTATTCCTTGTTTGTTTGTTTTTTGCACCACATACATCTGAGAGTATAATTTATAATCTCAAATGTATTACTCTAATAATTTTGAAAATCAGCTTCTGTGTGGGAAGGAAGTTTGGGTTTTTGGAGTACATTGAGTTCGCTCATTTACTTAATAATTGTTTTTCTGTCTCAAGTTTAAGCCAAATTCCTAACCTCTCTAGATGTTTGAGTTGAACTTCTGTATTTCCTTTTCTAGGTTTGAGGACTTTGTGCATTGCCTATGCAGATCTATCAGAAAACTCTTACCAGGAATGGCTGGATGTATATAACGAAGCCAGCACGAATTTGAAAGACAGAACTCAAAAGTTGGAAGAGTGTTATGAGATCATTGAGAAGGTTAATAAACATAATTTTGCTTATTTTAATTTGTACTCCCTCCTTTACTCCCTCCTTTACTTATTTTAATTTGTACTCCCTCCTATTACTGCACAATAATGTCTGGGAGAGAAAGTGTTAAAAATGGGGTACTATTCCAATCCAAGTTTTACACAGCTAAGGTTATTATATTTGCTTGGAAAAAGAGTATCTCCAAAATGCTGTTTGTTACTTAAATCTAGGAGCTACTTGAGTATTATCCAAGTTATTCAATCAGTTGCTAGTCACTGCATACAGCTGAATGGAACTTGGACTTTGCTTGTGTCATAGGAGCCATGCTTTAGGTGGCCCCAATCTCCAGCTGCTCTTCATTGCTGGGTTAGTCTCAGATCTGCCTCATTTATGATTTAATCATATATTACTGAGGCCAGGAGAGATCCATCTTGGAAATGAGTCCTTCAGGTTTTGGGAAAGGGAGAGGGTGTAGCTTTGCTCATCTGAAGCTCCTCTACATATGTAAAATATGCAAGTGTTTGTGAAGTTAGACTTCGGATCAACTATTGCTATTTCTGCTGAGCAGCTGTCTCTCTACATGAATTGCCAGATGCTGTGGCTGGGTTGATAGTGGTCTTGGGTGGCTTTAGTCCGTCCTCCCTGGGTGTGAGCAGAGTCATAAATTACCCAGGAGTTCAAGGCTATCATGGCAACCATGGACCTGATGCTGGCTATTGAATGTCCAACTCACAAGGGAGAAGAGCACATACTGCAGCTGTTTTTTTTAATCTCAGGCAATGGTGATGCTATCTGGAACTGGGGAGAGGTTGTTATCATCATTTCCCTATCATGGACAGCCACTCCTGGTTGGAGTTCTTTAGGACTGCCCTTCATCACAGGACATATTAAGTTGGTTCGCCACAGACAAGTAATGGACCCAGAAGGAGCTTGGGTTGTCCAGGGACTCTCATGTATGGTTTGATTGAGATCTTAATTGTTCCTTGAAATTAGTTGGTGGTGGCTACTTTGGATTAAATCATACAGGTATTAAATCTTGCTGCTTTGAATCCTGGAGAATCACTTGCATTTTGGAGGTGTTGTGGGAGATGAAATGGCAAGCATGCCATTGACAGAAGATGAACAAAATCTGATCAAGCAAGATTAAAAGACTTTTTTTAAAGAGTGTGTGAGTATTGTTGCACTCTTATTGCATCAGCATATGCAATCATCCAGAATGCAACAATATGAGTAATTAAAGGGTGCACTTTGGTACCCCCATATATAACATAAGCTGTACTGGCTCCTGGTAACCACCTTGTGCAATTCATAGCTTTACATTGTGAGATTCTACTATAGTTATTTCTGTCTACCCTACTATTTTGTGAAGAATAAGCATGCTCCTGGTCCCCTCTTTGACCTCATATCATCTAATTGGATCTGGGAGAAAAGCATTTAGTTGGTTATCACCCTTTGGGATGAGCCCCTTCCTCCCCATTCCCAGGCAGGCCTGATTTTATTAGGTGTTTTTTTTTTTTTTTTTTGCAGAGCCTCTTTTGTAGAGCTATGAAGATCTGTTTTTTCTCCTATGAATTGGTCCATGATGGTAACTGCGCCTTCCTGCTGGGAGTGTGAATGTTACTCAGCCTTGATTATGCGCTTGTATACAAATGTGGTTTTTAAATTGTCTTTTCTATCATTTTTGTTTGGCTTGGCTTATTCAGGGTTTTTATTGATGCACACTGTCAAGAGTCATACATTATAAATTTCTTAAATAAATAAGTCAGTTCGAATAAGACAATTTGGCTAATGGGAAATTTTGATGATTTTCAGCTTCCATATAAAATTGCACTGTTAGAAATCCTGGAAGGAACTTGCCATGTTTTGGAAAAAGGATCATAGCTTGGAGGGAAGCAACAAGATCAATTTAATGTTCTTTGGAGTTTCATAATTCAGGACCTTTTTGTCTCAGACTTTGTAGACTGGGATGAAAGTGACAATCTGATCCACGATAGTGTCCTGAAAAATGAATTAAAATATGACAGTAACCCATCCCTGTCCTTTCCTATTGTATTAGAATTTGTCTAGTAAAGGGTGCAACCAACATGGGTGAGTGTATTTTTTTATAAGATAAACAAATGGATAAAAAAAATTGGATTCCCTTATGATTTTTCCTAATACCATGTTTTCTAAAGTTAACCAGTTTTTCACACTTAGATCAACCGCTCAAAAGTTTTCCATTTCTATGGCTTAACATTTGGTTTAATTTAGGCCTTAAAAATATTAAATCAAAAGATAGTTCTCCTGGAACGTATGTTTAAAAGTGTTGGTTTTTTTTATAATTTTTACAACATAACGTTTAAAATACACTGAACAACTCTTAAATGAATATTTGGCTTGTATGCTTGGTTTGTAACTTAACCATTCCTCTTCTAGAAAACATCATGTAGTGACTGAATGTATACATTTTCTCTTTATAAAAACATCATGTTCTGTTCTTTGTTTTTCAAATTTTCAGCTATTTTTAACAGCTTTTGGCAAATGATATTTATAGACAGCTATGGCCTCCACCCTAAACATGGAGCAAGGTTCAAACTGGAGCTCATTTGTGACTCATGAATGCACATGTATTGCAATAGATATATAAATAATATCATTCATTGGGTGAAAGCTAACAATACACAAATGACTATATGTGCATGAGAGCACATTTAACTAAATAAGGGCAAACTCAATGAAGAAGCACAACCCGTTAACTCCTGCGCGGCTGTCTACATGGTCGTATCAATAGTACAGTTCTACTATGCTGATTTAGAAAGCCACCAGAACTTGCTATAAAAAGAGTGCCTTCCTTCTAAACCTCTTTTAGAAATCAAGCTTCTGGAAAACGGATGGAAACTAGTCATTTTAGGCCCCAATGCTACGGTCCTTGGAACAGAGCCAGGAATTATATGCAGTCAGATTTCCCTTTTTGAAATAGGAAGATGATGTCTGCTGGAATTGGGTATGTCTAGTTTAATGAAGAGAAGGATGAGGGGGGACATGATAGCAGTGTTCCAATATCTCAGGGGCTGCCACAAAGAAGAGGGAGTCAAGCTATTATCCAAAGCACCCGAAGGCAGGACAAGAAGCAACAGATGGAAACTAATCAAGGAGAGAAGCAACCTAGAACTAAGGAGAAATTTCCTGACAGAACAATTAATCAGTGGAACATCCTGCCTCCAGAAGCTGTGAATGTTCCAACACTGGAAGTCTTTAAGAAGAGATTTGACAGCCATTTGTCTGAAATGGTACAGGGTTTCCTGCCTGAGCATGGGGTTGGACTAGATAACCTCCAAGGTCCATCATCATCATCATCATCATCATCATCATCATCATCATCATCATCATCATCATCATCATCATCATCATCATCATCATCATCATTATTATTATTATTATTATTATTATTATTATTATTATTATTATTATTATTATTATTATTATTATGGGAGTCTGAAGCTTAGTTCAGCCCCTTCTTTGTCAGCCTCCAAGAGACTCCTTCAGAGGCTATGGATTCCTGATTTTGGGATACCTTTCAGTATCAGAATTTTAGCCAGGACATGGGAATGAATTTCTATATACAATTCAATAGTAAAGGAGCTAACAGTGCAAGAATAGACCATGATTGGATAGATATCTTGCTTTTGTTGCAGATATAAGAAACCCTAATAATGACTAACTACTACAGAATATAGCAACTGTACAGCATGGTATAGGATTTAAATCTAGAGTTTAAATCTATTGACATTGTGACGCTCATTTTATCATTTGCCCTCCTTGATCCTCCTAAGGTTGTTATGATGCCTAATATAGCCCCAATATAAACTCTCAAGTTTCCTCTTTCCACTGTGTATTCAAAATGGCAGTAATTAATATTTATATGTATATATGTGTGTGTATGTGTGTCTGTATGGAATAGGTATATATATGTGTGTGTATTAAAGTGATTAAAGGCAAGATTGGGGGGAAGTGTCAAGTAACCATTTCATTTAATTCTCACTTGACATGGTAATTCTGCAGGCTTTCCTCCACTGCTGATTTTCTAAAGTTGCGATTACTATTATTTCTTTTAGCCAAAGTGTGTGCTATTTTGATGATTTCTGAAATGACTAGTTTTATGCTATATGTACATCAACTACATTGGTTTGTCAGCAACAAAAAAAAGTAAGACACAACTTGCTGTCATTCTTTTCACTTTTGAGCATCACCCATTTCTTTCTTCTTCAGGAATTGCTGCTTCTGGGTGCAACAGCAATTGAGGATCGCCTTCAAGCTGGGGTCCCGGAAACGATATCTACTCTAATAAAAGCAGAGATCAAGATTTGGGTACTAACGGGGGACAAACAAGAAACTGCTCTCAATATAGGTAACAACTCATCTATTTTCCCAGGGAAGTTGTCCTTTGCAAATGCCACCAGATATAAATTGTAGATCTTGGTATAAATGAAATATTCCGCTTTGGCAAGTAATCTGACCGGTTGGAACTCTATAGGAGACAGTCAATCAGTGGAATAATTGGAAAATTCCTGGAATTACTTAAGACAAATAATTGTATCCATAATTCCAAGGAATGTTATTAATGCAATCAATTTGATTGATTCTAGCTTCTTGTTTTATATATATATATATGTATTAATTATGTTACATTATGTTACTTTAATGGATAATAAGGGTATACATAACAATACTCTACATAACATGTTTTTTTTAAAAAAAAAACTAACGGTGAAATAATTATTGCAATAGCATCAATGCAAATTGCCAAATGTACTGTATGAATCAAAAGTTTTTCTTTTAATGGAGCTGTAGTAAATGAGGCAGAGAGAATTAGTCAAAATAGGATGGAAGGAGCAATTGTGAGCAATTTCATGTATATAAAAATAATAAATGGGCTATGATTCAATGTTCTGTAAATAGTGTATAAACCCAAAAGGATAATATCACAAAATCATTAAAAACCTTAAAGTTTCTGTGGTTAAATCACTTTTCCGCAATAAAATGTAGCCACTTTCATTCCGACATATAGACTAAATAGTAACTAAAACCCAACAATTATATAGCATCCTGAATTTAATTTTAAAAATCAATCCCCAATGACAGTTGTACATGAAATTCAAACAGAATATTAGCTAATTTCTAAATGTTTAAATTGTGCTTAATATCCCCTTCCTACTATTTTCATATTAATTAATATTTTTTATTCCAGTGTTATATCAACAATCTATGATTTTGCAATTGCCCCCTTGCTTTTCAGTTCCAGCTCTTCTGCTCAGGCTTTATTTATTTCTTTATTTGAATGATTAGTTGATTGATTTCTACAGCTGCCCATCTTAGTCAATGACTCTGGGTGGCTTACAGTTCAAAAAATATATTACAATTAAAACACTAAGAACATTTTAAAACAATAAAAACATCCAAAATAAATATATAGTATATATAGCAGCTAGGATACTTGGCCAGTTAGCAATACAGGCAGGAAACAGAGTCCTTAACACATTCATCAGTGCTGTATCCAAAGTATTCAAAGAAAGTTTTGTTAAAAACATCTCCAGACCTGTTTATTTAAGTTCATTCTTTCATAGAATCCCTCTGATATTTATTCCTAATGGGTTTTATTATTAAAGGGTACCGGTAGTCTTAACTTCTTTCAAAAGTTTCAGGCAGAGCTTATTGCAAAGTTAATTTAAGCTGCAATTGCATAGCTCCAATTGTCCGTTCCTTAACCTATTACTGTATTTAGTAACACCCCTTCTTATTAACATTATTACTGTGTACTCTTTCTGGAGTTTAATTTTCACTGTTCTGTTCAATTCCAGGTGCTTTTGCACCAAGTGCTTTTAACTTTTGTGATCCCAAAGACAATACACGCTAAGACCAGGATCTCAAGTATAATTTAATGAAGGCTTTTAATGACAAAGCCCTGATATTCTATGACTTCACTTGCATTACGTGGAGTTTAAATAGCCAGTAGGTCCTATTATTTACACTTAAAACTGGAATAGCCTCCTTCGAAATAACATTTTAAACGAAATGTCAGTAAATCATATGGGTTTTCTTGCTTCCCACAGTAGTGAAAAATGTAAAAATACATTCAGAAGCTAAAACAAATCAAGAAGGATGTTCAGTACTGTTCTTAAGATGGCAAAGCCTGAGGATTTACTCCTAGGCTTGAGGCCCAGTTATGCTATGGGAAGGAGAAATATCACATTTTGTCTGCTTGAGATAGATTTTTGTTTGACTGTGAATGTACCTTCCTCTCATATAAACTGTTGCCTAATGCCGATAGATAGATAGATAGATAGATAGATAGATAGATAGATAGATAGATAGATGTAGGTAGGTAGGTAGGTAGGTAGGTAGAAGACAGACATTTCTTCTATCTATCTATCTATCTATCTATCTATCTATCTATCTATCTATCTATCTATCTATCTATCTATCTACCTACCTACCTACCTACCTACCTACCTACCTACCTACCTACCTACCTACTACGGCAGACATTTCTGTTTTCTCCTGTAAATAGTTTAATATTATCACAGGTCGTTTTCCCTTTACATTTCCAAGGAAAGCGCATGTATGTGTTTGAGTAAGAAATCAATCTCGATGCAAATCTCCTTGCATAATTTAATATGAGCTCTTGCTGATTACTGAGGAATTCAGTAGAATGTGCGTTGCTATTCTCCAGTTCCACTTGTCAAATGGCGTCTTGCATGATATGAAAGATGTAAAATAAAACAGCAAGAAGAAGCTTAGAAATTACTGCTCGCTGCTGCAGCTGTTGTTCCAATCAAAAACTACCAGAAAATCCCTTTCAATTAGTTATACCAAATTTGTAACAGTTTAGGTCCACAGTCATTCCCAGGGGAAAAACCAGGTCTCACTTGATGAATAATCCTTAAAGCTGTTATTTCTCAAAGAATTTTTAAAAACATAATTTGGCATGCCAGACCTCATTCCAGCATTATGAAATTGTTCAGTGTACAGGTCTTTAGAGAGACCTTATAGAAACTCACTGCATTTTTCTATAGTTGGTTTTTATTCTTGATGATAAACTTTAATCCTCCCCCAAATTTTATTCAGTTTTATTCAGATTTAATCTAATAATTTATATTTGTTTATGTTATTATTCTTCATTGTGAGTATTGTATACTTTTTTGTACTTTTTCTTGTTGAAGAAATCAACAAACAACAAATCCCAGGGACCTGATTCACCAACAACATAAGCAGTTTTGCATGTTTTAAAAACTATAGTGGCTGGTTTTACAAATTACCTTAAGCCAAAGCCAGCAAGCCAAATTAGACTAACGTGATTTGGACTTTCTTAGACATCAGTATGCACATAGAACAAAGAGCTCCTCTGTTGCAATAGACTATCTATGTACAACTAAAACTCTCATGGACCCTGCATTTCATGGGATTGAAATCTGTCAAATTTATAGTTGTTCAGTGCTGCCACACTGCCCAGAGGTTCATTAAACTGGTCCTACCCTAGCGCTCTGGAGGCCAAGTAGACCAATCCCACAAGGGTGGTCAGCCACAGAAAAGCCAGCAGGAAGTCAGAAGACACTTCCACTGCATTTTTGCCTTGGCCATTCTGTTTCTCTGTTTAGGTAAAGAAATATCTGTTGAGACAATGAGACAATGGGTCACAGTTGTCTAGTTCTCCCACAAAGAGTTGAATTAATTGCTTATTAGTATCTTGACTTCATAGCTATATTCTCTTTATGCCAGGCTCATACTACGCCTTGAGAATTAGAGTCTTTTTCCATCTGTCTCTATCCAACTACTGGAATTGGACAAAGTGGATGGTTAAGCAATGTCATTTAACGGGACCAAGGAAGTATGTCTTCTCTGTCATGGCACCTGCCCTCTGGAATTAGATCTCCAAGTTATCCAGATGGCTCTCACCCTGATGACATGCTGGAAACTATTAAAGACCTGGTTATTGAGCTTTGGGACAGGATGGTGTTTTGAGCCCCTGTTGGATTTTGTTGTTGTTGTTGGTTTGTTTGTTCCAATATTTATCTTCAAATCGCTCTTGTTTTATTTCTTTCCCTTTTCTTACTTTTTCTTACTTTTTAAATTGTAATCTGGAGGCCTGGAGTCACTCTATGAAGGAGATGGACAGTCACTAAATTTTATATAAATACAATGCAATACAGTGGAGTGCAGTGCAATACAGTACACAATAGGAGATGGACAGCCTCTAAATTACATAAGTAAATAAAACCACGATTTATTTAATAAAACATAGCTGGCTGAGTTTGCTTAACAGGCTAAGCCATAAACTATAGCTTACCAGTCAAAGTGTCTTAGTTTACATAACACTTTAAGCCAAACACAAATACAGTAAGCAAATAACTTGCAACCTGTGTCAGCTTGATGGGCAAAGCAGGCCTTGTTATTTTTCTTAGGTTCAGTAGTGACCGGGGAAATGATGAAAAATGCTTTGCATGATGATGTCACCACATATTTTTATTTTGCCATCCTTAAACTTTATTGCAGAGGCACCATCATAGAAGCATCTAACTAGCCATTGTGGAAATCAAGTGATGTATTACATAGTCCAGGCTTCCTCAACCCAGTACTCTTCAGGTGCTTTGGGACTGAACAATTTCCAGAGTTTTATGTTAGCTGGTGTATGCTAATATAGGGAAGGCTATAATGTGATTCAACACAGCTCTTTTTAAATAGATTTTGATTTCATACCACACTGGGCTTGTTTTTTCTTGCACACAATTAAAAGTGTCATAAGGGTCATGCTGGGAAGCTCTTGTACATTCTGTGATTCTCAGATTCTCTGCAAATTCCTACACAATTTAGAAATGTTCATTAGGATTCATAGTTATATATTAAACTTGCACAAAGGAAAGCTCTGGGGCTGGCCTCCCAACTCAGGAAAATGTGCCAATGAAGGAAAGGAGATTGATTGCGAATTTGGGCTTTCTTTCGCTCATGATGATAGGATGACTGAAGAAGATGCAGGATAGTTTTTTATGAGCCCCTTGATTATATTTTCTGACACCACCCATTGTATGTTGATTATTTCTCTAGGGTACTCCTGCAGGCTTGTTTCCCAGAGTATGAGTCTCATCCTCGTGAATGAAGATTCTTTGGATGTAAGTGGAATTCTACCATTCTGTTTGATTTAAATATTGTCATTATTTGATCTAAACTTACCAATACACAAGCAGAAATCAATCCAGACAAATGTGTACAAAAGGAAACTGAAACACATGGGGCTTCAAACCATGTCCCACTCTTATTGGAGCATACCCATCCCTCCAAATGACTTCTTAAAATGAAAGGATTATACTAAATTGGGTTGGGGTATGGGGCTGAAATTGCTTTGAAATGGTGCTTCTAGTCCTTTACTAGATTTGGGGAGAACCCTCTCTTTCACCCTCAGTCTACTATGCCATAGGTTACCTCATTTAATAGCAACTGTGAACCATGAAGATAGTTGGGGTGGGAAATAAATTTGAGTAATAGCTAAAGGATCTCAAAGGTCCAGTGGAGAGAAAATAACATTATTGTACTTACATTTTTTTTCTTGATAATTTGAGTGTAGAAAGCTTCTACCTTCTCTCCATTTAAATCTTTAGAACAGAGTAATAAACAAATATTGTAATAAATGTGGTTGGGTAAGAAAAATAGGGAAATTTGGCATTCTGTTGTTTAATATACTGAAAATGATAGACCTCGATCTGAGAATCCAATATCTACTATCATGCCACATAAAAGGGGGGCTTAACCAATTATCACACACCATTATCGATGATAAATTTGTTGGCNGGGACTCAGGGCGGTGAACAGGCGATAATAAAAACCACAATAAATATACACAAATTTCTGTCTAAAATCAAATTAAATAACAGGCCTGCTCTAAAAATACCCCATACAAAACCCCCACTAAAACATAATCAAACTACGCCAGGCCGGCCGCACGGAATAGATGAGCCTTCAGATTAAAGCAATCTCTTCCATTTTCAGATCACAAGCCAACTGCTTAGAGATGAAAATTAGGCCAGAAATTATTTGGGACAAGTCCATGGTTGTCTTGCAGTGTCCTTATACCATCTGCCAAGTGTTGAGGAGAAAACAACCCCTCCCATCTCAATAGTTGGGGAAATTGCTAGCAACAAGGTTGAGGAATTCAAGCAGGCACCCTGAGCAGGCATCACATGACTAGGGTCCTCTTTTCATTATAATTTCAAAAATAGGCAGTTGCACTCCCAACACTTACAGAGCAGGACCTAAGGAAGCAAATAAGAATGCCAACCTGATTAAGAGATTAAGACTTTGTCTGGGCCAAAGTCACCCTTATTTAATTATAAAGTAGTTCATCTTAGGCGTAATCTAAAATACTAAACACGATTCCATTTTGATTCTCTTTCTGTTCTTTGACAGTTTTTCCAAACATTGTTCCTATCAGATGTATTGGCCTTTAACTCATATAATCATAGTCTTTGATCTTACTGGATCTAGATTATGGGTATGGAAATCCAACCCATCTGAAAAATACCAGGTTGAAGATGGTTTACATTGAAAACCTTTCTTTCTGAGTAATAGTACTTGGCTGGAAGCTTAAAAATAACTTTTTGACCTGAGCCCTGAGGGGAAAAAAATAGGTTTCTTGACAATTTCAGCAGTTTTTAAAAACACAATTTTACATGCAGCTATAAATGGAAATAAAGGATCATCCTGAGTTTGACAACTGAGGGGGGGGGAAGTCTGTGAAAAGGTCATGTTTGAGCACATAGAAAAATGATCCTCTAAAATTAAAATAAAATATTCTCTCCCCCCCCCCAATGTTTCCTGTTTTAAGGTGATATAGACCATATCCAAGGAATCTTCAAGAAGATCTGCTCGTATTACAGGGAACAGGCACTCAAATACATTTTTAGAAGGATGTAGAGTTTAATTAAACATCTTAAGAAAAGTAAACTGAAACAGTGCAGAGAAGGCAACAATGATGATTGAGATGTCTGGATATTTGGTCTTGAGAAATATGATAGGACTCTTCAAGAACCCAAAATGGTATCACACAGCAAGCAACCATGATCTCTCTTCAAGTGTTGTGGTGTAGGATGTGAAATAATCAGTATCTTAAGTTATAGAAGATAAATTCTAGTTGGGAAGTGTCAGGCCAGTTCTATATGGGAAATAATGAATGAGGTAGTGAGTTCTCATCTGTTGGATATCTTCAAGCAGACAATTGATAGTAAATTGAATAGACAGGTTTTGTAAATGCTTTAATTTGGACCCTGCACTAAGCTGGAATTTTCAGTGGCTGAAATAATTTCTTCCAACTGTTACAATTCTGCTTTTCTCTCCCACTTCATTGCAATTGAGGAACTCAGCCTTGTCTGTGGGATAGTTAATCATAACACCAAATCAAACTAAATCAAAATCTGTTCTTCCTGCAGTTGAAGTCAGAGTTTCATACAGAGGACAGCTATCTTAAACAGGAATTCTGATCTGTCCCTTCCTGATGCTACATTCAACCCAGCCAATAAAACCATGCCTGAAAGTCAAAGGAACCCAGAATAAAGCAGTTGCAGTTGCAAATTAAAACCAGGTGCTTTACTATAGCACAGAGCTAAGAATACACAAACCCATTGATTTCAATGGCTTAAGCATGCATAAATCTGTTGATTTAGTTCAGGGGAATTAGAAGGGCACACACTGTCAAGTACCTATGTGTGCCTAAGCAGCTCATTTGGATTTGAGCCATAATGATTGAACATAATAATTCACATATGCAATCCAAAGCAATAACCTGCACTTTAATCAGAATAATTTGGTTTTGGGGAGGTTGCCAAATAGCAAAAGCCAGATTATGTGACCCAGAATAAATTACTTCAGGTTTAAAATTGGTCTGTAGGGTTTCTTTTTCCCCACTTAAGTGGTAGAATAACATAGAGTGAGAAAATCTGAAATTCTCAACTAGTATGCAATAACTTCTCTTAGAGTTTTAGACTGCTTGTAAATAATCAAGAAGTTGGTTTCGATAAGTTGCTTTATTTGTAGTTGTTTGATTTATTTGTTTGTTAGATATGATAGGCTCCAGTTAAAGAGATACCTGTACCAAATTAGTCTTGACTATAAAAAGTGAATAAGGTTCCATGCAGATTAATCTAATATGCCTCTGGATACATATTTGACTTGCAGGCCATGTTGCCTCATGAATTACGACAGAAGCTGTACCTAGGTAACCTTCATGATCTCAAAAAACTAAGCCTGGTCATACCTGAAATACTGGGGTGAGAAACCACCAGACTATTCTAAGTCTCTACTCTAAAACAAATCAGAAGTTGGTAATGGCAAACAATTTCCATATGATTTTCAAGAAAACTATTTGGACACATAGTCCAGGAGTTGAACTTGACCAGAAGGAGACTGTGCTTTTTATTGTCTTTATTTATACTGCATCATTTAAAAAAAAAAAATCCTTGTGGAGATAGGATAGGATAGGATACTTTATTTGTCCAAGTGTGATTAGACACACAAGGAATTTGTCTCCAGTGCAGAAACTCTCAGTGTACAAAATAGGAGAGAGAAGATCGATATTATTCTTCCCTCTAAGGAACTCCAGTAGTGTATATAACAATCCCTGTCCCGTTTTCATGGTTTCTTAGTCCTATCTATCCCCTTAAGTCTATATCACAATTATTTCATTTTTTCAATGCATTTGCACAAATACATCAAGTGTCCTGCTCAAGGGTCATTCACAGGTAATCAGGTAGATGGGTTTTATCCAGTAGCGCAGAAAATCCAGTAGAACTGGAATCAGTTTCATAGGCCATTTTGGTCAACATCCTATTTAACATAAGTCCAGAGGAGGGGTGTCTTGCAAAGATGATTATTTGAAGACCTTAAGTGATAGAAACACCAACACATCCCTGGCCACTTGATTCCATTCTCTTCTTGAAACTCATGTGCTGCAAAATGCAGACCTTCTGTTTTGGCCTGTTCTTTTTGTGTACAGTTTTGCACAGAAATGATATTACTGTACAAAATCACATCAAATCCATGAAGAGCATATCCATCCATCCTCATCAACCACTGATAAGGGACTTAATCTTGTTTTTCTTTTCTTTTCTAAGGGTAAAGGGTATAACTACAAAGCAGGCCTGGTTGCTTAATAGTGCTCATCTAATCTTGAAGAATTTCAAGAGGCAAAAAGAAAACAAAGGTGCAGACATTTGAATGTCCCATGAAAGGGAATGATGCAGAAAAAAATGAAAGGATGTATATGTTTATTTTTTACATTACTGACATATATGGGAAGAAGGATACTAGTCCATATAGTTAGTCCAGGGTGAGTAATATTCTTTTACTGCCTGCATTCCAGCTGAAGTAATCTTTTGGGGCTACGTCGCATGCCAGTGTCTGGCCAAAGGTAGCAATAATTTTCTCGCATCCCCTTCTTTTCTAGCATCCTATCTTTCTCTCTTTCCTTTCTCAGGTAGCAAGCTGTTGAGGAAGGGCTCTTGGCAAAAGACTGAACTGATTGAATATATTTGGCAGATGGGCTGCACATTGCTCATATCTCATTTAATTTCTCAGTTCTGTTATTTGTTTGTAAAATCTACTACAAGACTGGACAGACATCCTGTAACCATCATGTTGATTTGCCTGCGTATAGGCCATTCTTTCTTGCAGAGTGAATTTTTTTCAGAAAGAGGTAGTTCCAGTTGTTGTTTTTTATTTCTGAAATTTGCAAAATTAGTCCCCTTCTAGGATTCTCTTTCACCAAGCCCCTCTTCCAGTTTTCTTTTGCTGTGAGCTACTTACCAGCTTAATAGCTCCATATGTTGCAAATCATACAGTTAATGTAGATATCGTATGTTTTCAGCAGCAGAGGCAAATAAGGGGATTTTCCCTCCTCCCATCTCTGTAAGCTGACAATAATTTTAATATGCGAGGACAGTGGATTGAAAAATGGCAGAATAAATACCAAGGGGAAAAAATGAGGTTTAAGGCTTGCCATTTTTGAAAACCAAGGGGTTGTTATCCTGAGGGAGACACTAGAGGCTCTTCTAACATCTGTGGCACAACATAGTTATCTTAATCACCAGCCAAGCTATGTGGAGATCCATGACTGCCAGCAGTA